AGTATTACTTACTGTTTTGCATTAATTGATATAAACATCGTTAAAATTTTAAAAATAAAAGTATTTGTATAATTATTAAAAATCGTTGCTAATTCTTGAATTGCATAACTTTTATTATTAATCTGTTCTTCTTCAAGATAAAATAAACGTAATTGATTAATATTTTGATTAATCCAAAAGACAAACTTAAACCAAGTATTCCAACATATTTTAACAGGTAATAGTAATAAAGTAATTTGATTACTAATATTATCATTATCATCATTATCTATTAAAGATAAATTTAAATTAATATCTGATTTTAAAAAACTTATCTAATGCCTTTTACGAGCTAGACAATGAACAAATATTGCTTTAATATTTTTAATAATATTAGCTAAAAATTAAAAATTTTTATAATGAATCCATATTTCTCCTACTAAATTTAAAATATAAGCTATGCAACAATTGTATATTAACTGCAGAACTAAAGGAGATATAATTTGAAATGCTTTTATCATATATGCTACATTATCAGAAATAAAAAAAATAAGCTTATCAAATGAAATATTATAAAATTGTAAAGTTTTTATAACTAATTGTACAATAGAAGTACTATCTACAGTAGTAATAAATTCAGTTTTAGCAAGTTTAGTTTAATTATTAAAACAAAATAATATATTAACAATAGCTCTATTGCATGCATCCGTAGTCTCATCAACAATAATAGAAATTTGCTTTTCTTTTAAAAGGTTTTGTAATTTTGAAACCTCAGTATCAAATACTTTTAGTAAATATTTAATATGAAGTTGATTTGAATTTACAATCGCACTACCTAATAAAATTAATATAATAAATAAAATTTATTAAAATAAAATTTATTAAAATAAAATAATTTACCATTTTTACAATATTCTAACAAAAAACTTTTAAGCTTATCAACTTTATGTAATGGAATATCAGTTTTAGTAAATGCATTTACTAAAGCAATATTAATAAGCTCATGGTCATTTAATTTGATACTCGCTGTATCAAAAGTTGTTTGGTGAGTTAATCTTAATTTTTTAGCTTTGATAATATTATTTTTATATTTATCAGATTTTAGATGATTGTCTACTGTTAATTTTCTTGTATAGTTTACAACATGTTGACAAACTTCGCAAACCAATTTTTGACTATCAACATAAAAATTTGTTTTATATTCTGGTTTTTCAACTCGATGTTTAGCAGCAGAAACTATTTTTTAGATTTATAAAAATCAAAGAAAAAAAAAAGATTTCTTTTATAATATTATAATTTATTTTTATTATTCTAATCAAATATCTTATTTATTTTACAATGTAAATATCAAAAAAGTTTTTAGGCATTTTACTTAACAATAAGATGTATTTCATATAATTTTTTTTTTAGCTTATTTATATATCAATCTTTTTTTTAGATAATAACCATAAATTCTCTAAATAACAGGCATGAGCATTATTTCAAAAATCGTGCCTTCTAAAAATCATACAAATGATTTTGAAATAACACTCATGCATGTTATCAAATAATATCGTGTTAAATATAAAGTTTAATAAGTATATTTGAAATAGTACACAGTACTCGCTATTTCAAGAATTTATAATGCTTTCTTATTTTTGGTTACTAATTTTAAGGCATGTATGACTATTGGTATATACACGTTTTTTCTAGATTTTATGTGCATATTATGCACTATTAATTATGCGATTTCAGCCCTGATATGCAAATTATGCAATCGCATCTGCTATGCAATAAATGTCAAGTTTATGCGCAGATTATACGATTGCAGATATGCATTAGCCCTAATCTCATGCATGATTACGTAATATATGAATATTTTTTACGCGACATTGAGATTTTTTTATATAAACTTATCCATTTCTTTTTTTTTTGAACTTTAAGATATACACCGTTAAGCTTTTACTTAATTATAAACTTTGTTTAATATTTGATAAAATTTTATTTGGACGAACAACTAAATTTTGTCTGGTTATTTTGTTTACAAAATAATGTCTATGACGATTTATTGTTCGGTTAAAAAATGTGCTCTACCCAAATAAT